GGGTTGTGTTCTGATTTTAATGGTTCAGGAGTACCTTTTTGCTTACAGACTGCTAGTAATCCCCCTTTGTGCATTCATTATCACACCCATTAGGACTCAGCTATGTCGAACACTTGCATAATATGACCCTCGCTATACATGCATGTGCACAGAGAGCACCACCGATACAGCTGTCAACGGTGTCTGCAGTGTGTAATCAGACAATTTCTGTAGTACTGAAAGAAACACACAATCCTGTATGACCAAAGATGCTCTATTCAGTACAATGGCTGTGTTCAGTTGCAAATTACTTTGTTTTTAATTGTCAAGCATGTTTAACTACAATTATGTACACTTGGGTAAGAACTACATGGTTTATAAGATAGAAAATTAATTTCAATCACCAATTAAATTACCTTTCTTAGCTACTTAAAATTAATCCACCCTGAGCTGTGAAGAAACAAGGGAGGGATAAATGACAGACAACAATGGGGAACAAACAAAAGGCAGATGAGAAGCTATTATGAAAACATATCCTGAGTCTCTGGAAACCATCCGCACCTGCTTCTCTTCCCACACAGGCCAACCATGCATAGGGAACCACTCAGTGAGGAAATCAACACTAGGGAATCAACACAGCGGCCTTCCCAGTGAAATCTTCAACCACTCAGGCCATGGTATTCTTCGTAGCCTTTCCATTCGTATTTTCCTTATATATCTGAAGAAACTTAGACAGCATTGTTTGATATATCACTATTACTTTTTAACATTCATGGGTGCTTGTAGAGAGATAGTTCCAGATGCTAACAAATCATGTGTTTTCTATACTAAGCTAGACAGCAAGCCCATCCTTTGAGAAATCAAATCTGGCTAGAGAGACACGCACCTTAGTTACTTCTTATTTGAATTATTGCAACACGCTCCATGCAGGACGGTCTTTGAAGAGTGTTCAGAAATGTCAGCTGGTTCAAAATATTGCTGCCAAACTGCTGACTATCACTGGCTACAGGAAGCATATTACTGCCCTATTACAACAACTCCACTGGCTGACAGTACGTTCTCAAGCCCAATTCAAAGTGCTGGTTGTTACCTATAAAACCCTGGATGGCTTGGGTCCAGGGTATCTTGAGGACTATATCACTCCATAAGAACCCTTTCTGCTCTTAAGGACTTATGGGGACATTCTTCTTTATCTGGCAAATAATGAAAGATTGCCACCTGAAAATAACATACAGTACTGATTATATTATATCAACATAATAGCAATATACCACCCTAATAACTAAATGCTGCACCACTATCCCCCTCTGTATCATCAAAGAAGATGATGGAGAAAGAAACTTTCCCATCAATGCTGTTTTAGCAAGTGGTTAATACGGTGGCTGGAGAGGACTTCATTGTGTCATATAGATATAATCATTATTTATTTTTTTTAAATCATTTTTAACATCTATTGGGCACCTCCATTAATCACGTTGCTAAAATAGAAATGACAGGAGGGAGAAATGAGAGTTTGCATGCTGCATTACAGGAATCCATTGCTATCATACTGAGCACTATTTGCAGGTGGGTGTGTTGAAATATAGTTGGAAAAGTGTTTGAGTGAAGTGCTACCTCAAAAACAGATTAAAAATAAAATAAATGAATGAATGATAAAGATGGAGCCAGTCACAAAAGTTACATTCTGCATATCTGCTGAGCGATAGATTCACTTGTGTGGTACATCAAAGCCATTCTTTGTTTCTTTCTTTTTAATGGAAGAACAAGCAAAAACATTTTTCCCTTTGGGAACTGTGTTACTCTTGCATCATTATTAAAAATGTGGACTTTCTGTAGTGTGAGAAGACTGCAAAAACACAACTGTGAAATATGGGGAAATTCCCTACAGATAAGCACAGGTGGATCTCCCGGTAAAACTTGAGTCAAGAAGCCATTGCAATGCCATAGCAGATCTGCCTTTTGAAGAGCGACATAAAAAATCCCGCAGAATACACTAAATCAGTGATGGCTAACCTTTTTGAGCCCGAGTGCCCAAACTGGGGGGAGGGGGGGAGAAACCCACCAGGCAGCAGAAGTGGAAGTGGCGGTGGAAGAGGGTGTCCCAGGCACGGAGGTGCCTCCAGACCCCTCTCCAGATCCACCTCCAATTATGCCCAACCCCTGCCAGCACCAGCTGCTCTGGAACCTGGCCTGCTTCCTGTTGGGGTGCCAGTACTGCAGTTGGTCAGGTTTGGCTGCCAGGGGGTAGCAATTTGGCGACTTATGGTTTGCGTACCTGCAGAGAGGGCTCTTGTGTGCCAGCTGTGGCACACGTGCCATAGGTTCGCCATCACTGCACTAAATACAGTGGTGCCTCGGTTGACGAGGATAATTGTAGAGCGAAATCCTCGTGAAGCAGAATAAAAAAAGTCCATTGAAATGCACTGAAAACTGTTCAATGCGTTCCAATGGGCGAAATACCTCAGCGTCCAGCGAAGATCCTCCATAGGGAGGCCATTTTCTGCTCCCTGTATAGCGAGGAATCTGTCCCAAAACACAGCGGGCAGCCATTTTACACAGCGGGTGGCCATTTTGAAGACCCGACAATCAGCTGTTTTGATCGTCGTAATGCGAAAAACCGGTTCCCGAAGCAGTTTTTTCCTACATAAACATCGTTTTGCGATCGCTATAGCGATCACAAAAAATCCATCGTACAGCAAAAAAAAGTCATGCGGGGTAACCGTCTAGCGAAGCACCACTGTAAAATATATCCAAATAACTAGAGAGACCTGTCTGGATTTCAAGATGGAAAACAGCTTTGCTCTCACATTGTTACACAAGTGCATGGAACATTGTAGATCCCTTGCTGCTTTGAATTATGTTGCACCTTCCCTTAAGAAAGACACTGTTCTTTAAAGATGGCCAGAAAATGGAACAAGACGAGAATGGAAACATATTATTAAGGAACATTAATTCTAAATCTTCCATCAATGTGTTGTTCTTTGGAATGGCAAAGGCATTCTGCCTCCCTTTAGAAATCATCATTCTCCCACCCTCCCCTCACGAAAACACGGGAACACTTTGGGAGGGGCCGGCTTCCTCTCTGCTCAATCCCAGCACTATATTTTTGTACATTTACACAAACACACCAAGATTTATTGGCAACACCCCTACAACAGTCTACAGGAAATATCCAGAATCACACAAATAGTAGGATTTAGTAGGAGCCACGTGGTAGTAGCCATGTTATTTGCAATGCCTGTATTAATGTTGTGGGTACTTCTTATCACAATTTTATCCTACCTTTTCTCCAAAGAATTGGGGGGGGGGGCAGAAATTAGCTGTTTTTCCAAAATACGATGGATTTTTCTAATCTGTTCTCTCAACTGAATTACACAATTCAGTTCTTACATGATTAATACTTTCACCCAGACGGTGATGAGATCCATATTCAACAATGTACTCTCCCAAGCAAACCTTCACTAGGGCCTACACATTGGGGCAGGACCCCCCTGAAGTGCCACTTAGGGTCCAGATACCTTGTGGGCACCTTGGTGTCTGAGCTTCCTCCTTCCTTGATGCCACAGAAACGTGCACACACACCTAAACACACACACAAATACACATCAGTGAGCCTCCGTCATTAGTGGGAGCCATTTGTATGAGAACATTCAAGAGAGGGGGTGAAGAGAAGTCCCTTCTTCTCTGCCCAGAGATCTTTGTACAAATCACTCTTTTTCTGTGGTTGGAAGCAGCAGGCAAGGAGAAATATGTGAGACATTAGTGGGAGAAGGCGAGCCGTTCCAGGAATTATGACTGTGTACCTAGGGGAGAGGCTGCTCCAAAGGATACACCACTGCACTCTACAAGTCCTAGACAGATACAGGAAGCATCAGAAACCTCTCTGTCACCTGAACTGCACAGGCAACACTCCACTAGAAAAAAAAAGTGTGTGCTTGTCCATGCACATTTACCTGCAGGCGCCTAATGAACAAGACACCCAGCGTGGTCCTACATCTCTGAACGAGTGCAAAACTCTCCATGAGGAAGGAGGCTCTGGTAAAAAGATGTCAAGGGAGGGGTTGTGGCAGCAATTCAACCTTTCACCCACCAGGCAAAGTGTCCCTGTAACCCTCTGGGAGGCCTCGGGATGTGTCTTGACTGTCATTCTGAAGGACCCCTATACCAGCAAGCTCCTTTGCACGGAGGTTTGGGAAGGGAGTACATCGCTTGCTATGGCAGGTAAGGCTGGGCTGTGAGCATCCTCAAGAACGGAAGCGTTCAGGACCATCCATAAGGACAAAATAAAATCCAAAATCGACAGGGTGACAAGACCTTTATGAGAACCAACAAAACAACAGGATGCAGCAAGCTTTTGAATTCTACAGAACTCGTCCTCAGGTTAAGTGCTTTAAAAAAAAAAATCAAAGGCGGCGGAACGGCCGTCTCCAACGGGGGCGGGGTCTCCCATTGTTTTTCCTGCCACCTATTATGAGGCGCCCGTTTCCAGAGAGCCCCGCGCGAGACGCCAACTTATGCCCAGCCAACTTAGAAAGCAAAAACGGGCATCCCAAGATTTGTGAACCCGAACACTCGAGCCGTAGGGAAGCGTTGAAGATTCGACCCCTTCGCTGTGTCGAGTCCGCTCGCCCGCGGGCAGCCGTCCCTTGACATCCCAGCTCGGGATGGTCCTCCAAGACAGCCGCCGATCGCTCCCCCACCACCACACCCCACCCCACCCCCAGTTAACTCCTGCATTCCCAGAACCCATCGGAAGACATCCCTCTGAGTGGGACCGGGGAATGTTCCTCTTCCCTGCCCAAAGCTGGCACGTGACTGCTCTTAAACACACACACACACACACACACACACGGAGTCCGCACCAAGCGCGGGTCCGGCAGGCAAGGGCGCGACTCGGACCGAACTCTACCGAAAGAGCCCGTGGCTCGTGAAACAGAGCGGAGCCGGAGGCGGCGGGGGTGTGTGTGTGAGAGAGAGACGGCCGGGCAGAAGAGCGCCCCCCCCCACCGGCCAGCACTTACGCTGCTGTTGTCGCCCGTCCAGTGGACCATCGCCTGGTTGTGAATCGCGTCGCCTTTGAGGACGAAGGAGGTGCTGAGCAGGGAGGCCGCCTCCGGAGCTCCCGCGGCACGATCCCCCCGCAGGCCCGCCTCTCCCCGCGGGCTGCTGCTCCGTCTCTGCCGGCGCCCTTCGTCTTGGGGGCGCGCCGCCCGGGAAACGCTCAGCACGACGAGGAGCCCCACGACGAGCAGGAGCGGAGCCACGAGGCTGGGCGCTCTCGAGACCACGCGAGTTGCCGGCGCCATCCTCGGCCTCCCTTGCGCTGCCCCGGCCGCCGCCGCCGCCGCCGCCGGGCAGAGATGCTTGTCTGGCAGAT